CTGCCTTTTGAGACAGCCGTGGGGTGACCATCGTGCCTACCTCGTTGGCTGGTATTTTTTGCAGTCTCTTTTTACTATTTTATCTTCATATTATATTCATTTGTATTGTATTCAATTCTCTATTATGAACATATTGCAGTGCTTCGCCCGGATTACTGTTGTCAAGGAGAGGGGTTTGGATTATAAAGATAATGAATCCATACCCTTGTCTGTTGACGATTATCAAAATGTGTTGGATATTCTCGTGGAGTTTCGTTGGTGAACTAAAGGTCTAGACTCCCTTCTAAGGGGCATTCCAATATGGTTCATGCGGGTCTGAGTGCCTGTGCTAGTTATGCTATACTCGGGGATTTTTTAATGATTGGGGAAATTTTGATCGTCAAGCTTTCTACCCTTTGCGGGGTCATTCGTATATCATGCTTTAGCCTGTTGGCCTTAGTTGGCGATTTCAATCTTCATCTCGAAAGGAGAGGTTGGCGAAGACTGACTCTCCCAGTTGCTTGTTGATTTACAAGAATTGGTGGAGACAGAAGACTCTGGGTGCCTTTCTACCATTTTTGCTTGAAGGTGATCAGAGGCGAGCGGAAGCTATGCTACTTGCCTTGTTAGAGCCTATTGTTCCTACTCTTCAGTCGTTTGAGCTTCCACCTCATTCTGGACTGATAGCACGACTAAGTTTCGACAAGAAGGTCTCCCTAATACCAAGCACCGACGGTCTAAGAGGGTACGGGTTCTGCCGAATCCAAGAGTGAACGTCCTCCTTTGTGTTTGCTTTTTATAGCAATAAAGTTATCGATTTTTGTCATGTCCGTGGTTTGTTTCTATTTTATTTCAGGCGTAAATTGACTCACAACAGTACACACGCACGAGATATGAATCATACATCATGTGTTATTCCCTTCTCCCTAAGAGATAATTACGTTTTATTTCATGTCCAACTTCATCTTTAAGTTGTACAGATGAAGTTGGAGGCCTCCCACTCTAACCATTTCATTTCCTATCCAACTTTGTTCAAACGTTATTCACTTCACCTATATATAATACGATTCCCCGAATTAATTCTTGATTTCATATTTGGCAAAAATGATGTTCGAACATTGCGTGGTTTGTATAAGGCTGAGGCTCTAAACAATCAAAGTATGGCGCACCTTCAAATATATCAAATGATGTTGTTTCAATACTAAAAATATCTGTGATGGCCTGAAAATCATTTTCATCTCAATTATAAAATTTTAAACTTCAAAAATAGTGTAGATCGAGCAAATTTATGAACACTTGAAAATCTTGAAAATTGACGGTCTAGAAAATGCAGTACAAGATGCACTATTTCCAAAACATGAAATCCAATTTTTCTCATATCCATACATCTTGATGTTGAGATGTTCGATTTTAGGACTTTTAGGCATTGAAACAATCTCTTCTAGTGAATTTTTTAGTAGCACCTTAATTGGATCATTTAGGGCCTCATACTTATATTAATTTTTTCCTTCATAATTTATTATATGTATCTAAAAAAAGAAGTGACTATAACAATAGTCCAATAAACAACTACAAAATCCATAACGATAGAGCCAATATTGTACAAAAGTTCTTGCAAAGTGAGCAAGAACCATTGAGTAAAACAAAGGTTTCAATAAATATAGGTGTAAAGTTCAAATGAGAAGTTCTATGAATAAATTTCTAATGGGAAAGATCACTCTCATATCAAGTTTATCTGCACCTCATAAATATATAGAAAAGGAAAAAGATCCAATGCTACGGTTGTATAGTAATATAATGCAACCACACATTTAGAAAACAATATGTAAGACCCCAAATTTTGCACACACATTTTCTTCACCCTCATAATCAATCCTATGAAAAAAGAAAATTTCAATTTACATCCTAGATATGGTGAAAATTAGCACCCATCCAACAATGAATCTCAACCATCCATTTGGTGAAGTTCAAGATCTAGGCCTTAACGAATTCAAAATCACTTTTTTTCTTTTTTAGCATTGTTAATCTAATAATGATAACGCTATATAAAAACTTTGGGAATAAAAAAAAATCTTCTGAGACCTATATATAACCATCTCAATAAAATGGACGGCTTATATTAATTGGGCTAGAATGAAAACTTTCTAGAGCATTTTTTCAAAATTTTCTTTTTTGTGATTTTTCTTCAGAATGAAAAGAGTGCATATTTAAAAATTCGTGTCAAACAAATGTTTCTAACATCGTTTTTTAAGATGGTTGCATACTAATATACAAACCGTTGCATGAAATCATTCCCATATAGAAAATAGTTTGGTAGGGTTGCAGCCCTATCAAAATAAGTAAAGGCTCGCCATATAGCTCATTGAAAATTGCAATTCAAGTATTGAAAAACCTTTCAATCGATCATTTCGGCTTGAGCATTATAGTTCTGGAAAAAATTGAATTTCAAACTCTAAAAATAATGTATATTGTAAAAAAATATCTAGACCATCCATTTGGCCCTAGAAATAAGTGTTTACATAACCACAAAATCTGTACTATTTTCTTAGTTTCAAATGTTATTATCGACGTTAAAAATTAATTTCAGAGCCATCATGAAAATTTCCAATGCCGAAAATGCTTTCTCGATTGGGATTTGAAATGAGGCTTTATTTTGTTTTCATAACGCGTATGCCTTGTAGAAACTTCATCCTATATACATTTCTCTCGCCTTTTATTTTTGCTCAACAAGCCTCCGCTAAATATGAAAACGATTATCCTATGCTTCCCACCACTGATGGTCTAGCCACCATCCATTCAAATTCCTAAAAATGGACGGTGGGGATTTTATAGAATTAATGTACTTAGTGCTTAAGACATCATACTGGCGAGCCGAATTATTCTTTGCTAATCTGAGTTCGAACGAGTCAGATCGATGATCCATAGTTAAAAAAATAATAAATGAAGGTCAAATTAAATAAAAAGAAATGCGAGCATAGAAAAAATATTTGAACATAAAAAAAAATCAAGATGAAAATGAAAAAACAATTGTGGAAGATTTGCTCTAGTACACGAGAATTAACACTAAAAAGATACAAAAATGAGCTACCCAAAAAAAAAAAAAATTATCCATTTCTCATCAAACAAATTTGTCAATGCTTTTATAGATCAACATGGCATGAATATTTTGGGCTAAAATTTAATGGGAAATGATTTCATGCAACGGTTGTATAGTAAAATAAAGCAACAATATTCAAAAACCATATTAGGGCCATTTGATTGATCCAAATTTGAAAATATACGCTCTTTCCATTCTAATGAACAATTGTAAACCAAAAAAGCAAATTGAAAACGCAACGTAGAATGCATTTTTTAACCCAATTAACATAGACCGTCCATTTTGCTAAGATGCTTAGATCTAGGCGTTAGAATGATTTTTTTTTTTCCAATTCTTTTATATGACTTTATTATCATTAGATGAACAATGCTAAATAACAGAAAAAATGATTTTGAGTTTGTAAAGGTTAAGATCTGAAATTCACCAAATGAATGGTCTAGATTCTTTATTGGAGGGGACTCATTTTCACCATATCTAAGGTTCAAATTGAAACTTTAATTTTTTGAGATTGATTATTGAGATGAAAACATCGTGTGTAC